CCCCCCCCCCCCCCCAAGCAGTGTAATAAAAACTTCCCACAGAAGAGGAGGGAATAGAATGGAAGGATTCTACTTGCCGTGTGCGAACGATGTCACGTCGCTCGCATAACGTCGTACAATTTGCACGCGTTATTACCCGCCCATACATACGCACCGCACTGCGGCCTCTTGTATTCGCGACGATTATCGGCACACGGACGGGAACAGATAGCGATAATTGATATTGCGAGCGTGAAACGGCTGCGCGAGTAGATGTTCGGTATCGAGGAAATTAGCGGCCCAGGCGTTTACCGAGGCGTCGACCTGGAAGCCAACTTTTTTAATTTCGCCTGCACACAGAGCGCAGGCAATCAATTGGTTCATCCGAGATCTCTCCTGATTGCCTCCGCTGTGTGTATGTATACATCTAGATATATGTGGGTGTGTGTGTGTGTGTGTGTGTGTGTGTGTGTGTTCACGTTTGCACGGTGTATCGTATCTCTATCTGTGAAAACATACGATCGGGGAGTTTCTGATAAGTCGTATGGCTTTTTGCTTCTACAACTTCCTCTCGTTCTACCGATCGCGAAAAATATGGAATTCTGCCAATCTTAACGTTAAGAAATCTCGTCGTCTCGTTTAACAACTACATGGAGGAAGTATTTACGACAACCCCCCCCCCCCCGAGAATGTCAGAAATTATTTACAGCGAAATAATAAAGTACAGCGTCTTTTACTTTCGATTAACAACTTTTTTTAGATTATAATATTTAGAGCATATATGTTAAAATTTTTCTATATCTTTCCGCTTGTTTAAAAAAAAAAAATAAAACAAATGGTTTAGTTTTAGTAAAATGATTTTTCTTTCGGATATGCGAACGACGTTCTCTCGATAGACTGTATATTCATATATGTATATTTATCATCACAGAAAAAATGCATGCTGATTATAAGTATACATGTAATGATTGCGTACTCACGTATGGTATATATTGTACATATATCTGCGGATTAAAGGACTCAAATCCGACATAACTCGTTAACCTTTTTCTTCTATTCGTGACACTCGCTAAATGTTCTACAACGTTGAGCCGTTATTTTCAAAAGTGCACTGTGAAATACGTCGCGCAAAAATACAATAAGTACATCAGCGAAAAGAAATATATACACGCAATAATATGATATGAATATTTTTTCAAAATATAAGAAATTGCTAATATTTAATTCTTATAAAATAATAAACATATATATATATATATATATATATATATATATATATACACATTTATTTCTCTCTCTTTAACGTCGAATATACCTTCATCGCCTCTTAAGTCACAATTTTTGCGGGATTTTAAGCAGTGCGAATTGATTTTATGTTTTGTTAATATTTTATAAAATATTTTTACTTCAAAGTTTAACAGCATTTCGAAATGAGAGAGAAAAATAGTTCTCCTCTATGCGTATAGAGATTAATGTAGATAACGCATTTTGCACTACGGATACACATCGAATTTAACATAATCGTTAAATATTAATGTACGAACGTCGCTCGACGCGCAAATTGGGCAATTTATGTAATTCAACGAATCTGTAATATCGTAGCCGAATCCGTTGTGTCAATTATGGTGTCGGGTATGATTACTGCTGATCGTTGCTATACGAGAGATTAACGCTTGGGACGGAAAATTAATTTATATATCTTGCGAAAGGTGATTAAGTGCCGCCGTAATACTGGTATTATTGGAAATTCTCCATGACGGGAATGCATTATACCTATAACTTCTGCCGAGCTCCGATCAACATCGCCGCGTGAAATTACACATATGCGAAATGCGTACGTACAATTCCGCCGGGGTCTCGTCAATTGCATTACCTCAGAAATTCCTCCGCGGCGGAATTAAAGATTAAATATCTGATTCATATTCAATGGCGAATTCGCAATATCACATCTGTAATTTCATGGCCCTGCCATTTTATTTCAAATACGCTGTAAATCTCGGAATTGCATGGAGGATAAACTGATACGAATAATCGAATAAAACTTACCGATGCACGTACGCACACTTCCCTCTATTAATTTAAGTTAAAATTTAATTTTTACCAGCATTCTCGTTCCAACCAATCATAATTGCCTTTTCAATAAAATCGCAGTCTCTTCGTTAATATATATATATATATATATATAATATTTTTTTTTTAGTTCCCGAATATGTTTACACGATGATAATCAAGGTAATGAGGAAATATCGGGATAAACGAGGGAAATCGGGAAATCGAATGAAATAGAACGCATGTTCGATTTGTGACTTTTGCGATTTTTTTGGTAGATTTATTTTTTATAATGCACATGTTTCTCGTGAAAAAATTAAATTCCGTGTATGAAATTAGCATTTAGAGTTTCACGTTTCGGTACAAAATTCATTGGGGAAGGGGTAAAGGTCAGTCGACGGACGACTGTATCTCGGGACACGCTTGGACGACGACGACGTCGACGACGGCGTCTTGCCCGGTGTCTGTCGAGGTCTTTTGATAGATTTTCTCTTATTTATTTTTTTCTTTATCTCTCGAAAGAGTTGAACGTCTCCTCGATCGGGATTTCGCTTCTTTTTCTCCTGACCTTCTCTTTCGCTTCTCGTCCACGTTGCTCTTTCTCTCTCTCTCTCTCTTTTTGTCACGTATATTTAAACACACACACACACATACACACACCCACACACATACACCACACATATATGTGCCCGCGTGTGTGTATAATATTTATATATAATTCAAGTATCGCTGTATTCGCGTAAAACTCGAATCAGATCTAATTGACTGTCGCGACGTGATATCCTTTTTATTGCAATCGTTTTGCCCGATGGACACAACGCGAACGCACGGTAGAAATTTCGAGCGGGAAGGATCGCGCGCACGGCTCCTCCTTCCTTCCCGAAAAATCCTCCGCTGTCCGGCGAGAGAACGAATATTTCGTCCATCCTTTCAACCGGTAGCGCGGCGACTCGAGTCTCCATCCCCCTTCGATGACGAGAATCGAAAAACACCGATGACAAATTGCGAAATCTTGCAAACGCGGCACCGGCCGTTAATCCGCAGGCACGGAGAACGCGAGACCTTCGAAAACAATCGCGGATCGAAGCGCGATTATGAACGCTTCGTATGTTAAAGAATTTCGACGGGATGCGAAGTCGCTTCCCGGCCGGAAAAGGTATTTAACATACGAAGCACCAGTTTGCGGAAGAATGCTTTCCGCTTTCCTGCGGACGTGCGGAATCCCGCGAGTTTCCCCGCTATACGAATGTTATCGGCGGCTAATGGACCGCGGTGTTGTGCCGCGGATCAAAATCTCCTTCCGGTGAACTTTCCGCGTCGCCCGATCGTAAGCCGTCCTCCAACTTTTTCGCAACGAATACGTACGCGGTCGCGATTGACTGACGGCCGCGTCGAGATGTCTCGACGACGGCGCTAAATTCGAACGACGGAGTACACAAACTGATTTTCTCGATTATTACATCCCGGATTTCTTTTCTCTCTTTCTCTTTTCTTTTTCTTTTTTTATTTATTTATTTAACCGCGTGTGAAGTTTAGCTGCTGGATTCGCTCGTGATTCGTTTTCTTTCGGTTTTTGTCCTCACGGCTTTGGTTTTCGTTTTAACTCTGATATTCACTGTTAACACATGCATTGTTCTTTTTTTGCAGTTACAATCGCACGCCCGTTCGGCGCGCCGCTTGAAATTTTTGCTTGTTCTGCGCCTCTCTCTTCCGCTGTCTCGAGAGGCCATTTCTCTTGGATTTCTTTTTTCTTCTTTTTTTTTTATATTTCTTTCTACCGTGTTTTTTTCGTGAGAACGCGCGGTTACGTTAGACAACGGAGGATGATTACGTTAAACAACGCGGCCCGAAGAGTCGCCACAGGCTTTTGTCCCAACGAACGCGGATTGCGGTGTAATAGAAAAGCGGAAAACGCGGATGACGCGTCGATCGATGGCATCTCGTGTCCGCTGGGTTCTCTCTTACGGAGTCGAATGGGGGGGAAAAAAAAAAGAAAAATTGCGACGACTTCGGAATCGGATCGGCGTTCGATCGCCTCGCTTATTTCATTTCGCTATTCAAAGTTGTAAAAGTACTGCAAATATATAAACGCGTCCACCGTAACGTAACCGCGTGTTTGTCTCTCTCCACTTGGCACTCACGCACACACTCTCTCTCTTTCTCTCCCTCTCTTTTTTACTCTTTTTATTATTCCCTTAAAGCGCTAATCCTGAAAAACCAATCGGATGTTTCGTACCTCGAGGTACCAGAACTTCTCGATCTCTCCAGATTTCTGTTTACACAAACAAAAGGTATTATGCAATTTTACGAAGACTCGACACACTCAGGTTTCGTGGCGTGACAAACGCTACTTCACAAACGGGACTTGGTAGGATAGTGAGACACAATTAAAGACGATCATCGGTGACGATATATACGGTAATGTCTTAGGCGGAATCCTCCTGCCGAGTACCCAGAGACAGGGGTACGACTACCGCGTGTCAAGTGGTGGCAAGTTAGGACAAATTGTATTCGCGAATAACGATTTTGAATATGCATATCTGTTCGACGAGCGAACAGAACGTGCATAAAATCCACGTCCGATACGTCTCTCGCGGAAAACGCGTAATTTTATACGTATATCTCGCGACATGTGCATTTGCACGCACGTTGTCTGAAATCGTTCTCTCTTCGCGAATACATTTTGCGCATCACTGGTCGACGAGCACAAAACTACACGACGACGGAAACAATAAACATGGGTAATGCTACATCCAAACGACACGAAGACGTGTGAAAAATTAGGATGTCTTTTTCTAGTGGGTCTTCGTCATGTTGTGATGATCTCGCAGATATTTGTGTCGCCTGGATATAGATGGAAATCAGAAACCAATGAAATATTTCGCCAAATTAGATATTTCAATTTTTCTTTTCATTTTTTTAAGAAATTTCTTTTTAGAGAAAGACATATATATTTATTTTATTTTATCCGTCGACGATACTACAAACTAAAATTTTAAAAATTAGTTTCATGCAAAATTATATAAAGTTTGTTTTCTCTCTCTCTCTTCCTCTCTCTCACTCTGTTCACACTCTATTTCGTACTCTCGTGACAGTCTACGATATTCGTATTGTCAGTCAAGCCGATGTATGTGATACGCCCGGCTTTTGTTCCGAAAAGTCAAATCGAGTCGATTGCCGCATGCAAGCGGGTCAGTGATTTATAATATAAAAAAACGACCTGCCCGGTGCATGGTCGACCGACGTTAATTTCAGAAATGACCGGACGTTTACTCACGCGCGGAAATCTGTGAGATTTCACGGTGATGAGGAGTCGTCCTCTCTGCTTGCAGCTGACTCGAAGTGCCTTTAGGCCCGATAACACGATTGATAGGATGTACAAGTTACGCAATGTCGTCAAAAAAAAAGAAACGCGATCAAAATTCAGTATACCTTCGAGTGCAGATTGCAGCCCGGGAAGATTCATAACGTGACACCTCACGAGTTTTCGCGCCTAATTCCATGAGTAACCAATAATTCATAAAGTCAAAACAATAATTGCTAATTAATAATATACCGCCGGAGTTAATATACCCACCAGGGGCCAATATTAACAATTGTAAAAATATGGCCGAGATAAATGCTATTACAATAATCGGTTCAGTTTATGATCGCCTGTAAAGTATAAGAAAATTAGAACCACGGCCTCATTGTCATCCTCGATTATCAGAATTGTTCTGCATTTACTCTACACATATTAATGAATACAATCACTTTGCAATTAACAGTACAATTTTTAAATACTCAAGGATAATGTGACCACGGCAACTCCGATTCTTTTTACTGAAAGAGTGAAAGCAATACGGTAGTTCATCAATTTTGAAATGCAAGCCAAAAAGAAACGACTGACTCCGAGACAGGCAAACATTCGAGTGGGATTCGCGTTTATCAGCAGTATCCACATATCGATTTCCACTACTCCTTTTGATGGAAAAGTCGCCAAAAGTGAAGAAAGTTTGCGGAAATGTAGCAATAAACTCAAATATCGTATATGAAACGATTTATAATTGCCGGAGACAAATTAGAAGTAATGTACGAAACAAGAAATACACAAAAACAAAAACAAAAAATATATATAGATATATCTATCTCTTGCCGCGCTCGAATTCATCGCTCTGTACTCCGTAATTGCTTTACCCTTCTGTCCGAATTCGAGGAGCATACAGTCGTTCTTAACAAGCTCTTCCAGTGAAATAACTTAAATCGAGCTTACATATCAGGGATGAAACTACGTTATCTTAAAAAAAAAAAAAAAAAACCGTCAAGCACAGCTGTACGCTTCTCAATTTTCATACGTATCTTAATTTTAATTTGCTTTCGTGGAGAGAGTGTGGAGTAGTGTTTGTTGATTTCATTTTTTTGTTATATTTTTTTGGATTTTTTTTTTGTTGTTTTGTTGTCGATGTAGCAGCGTATAACGGGTGTTGGTGTTATATGTTAAAAAGGAGTGTCCTGCGGTAATAGCGCGTTACTCTGTCTCGGTTAGACGGTGCTTTCGGTGGTGGTGTTCTGCACCGGCTGGCTCTCCTGCAAACATACACATTGACGAACATTATTCGTTGCGTGAAAGTTGCAAGAGCGATAACAGGAGAATAGCAATTATGCAACGCGTAGTTAATATCTTTACTATAATCATCTATACATCTTTTTTAAGATATTGTGTAACAGCTATGTGTGTAGAAAATGCAATTCCTTCTAGAAAACAAGAACAAAAGGAGGAAAGATGAGCAAGAAAATAAATCGGACGATCTGCTTCGTCGATCACATCCTAATGCCGGAAGTGTAAGTGAGTGAAAACTGCGGCAACCGAGACGAGCTTCTGCGAGATCAAAAAGAAAAAAAAAACAAAGCGACGTTACCTGTGGAGCAGGGGCAGCGGCAGGTGCATCCGAATCTTTAGGTGCATCAGACTTCTGCTCCGACTGAAAAGAGTACAAAGAGACACGTGCAAACAGTGTGTGCTAAGCGCTACCGTATTTTTGTCTGTATTTTTGTCGACAGATCGCGCATTCGCAGTCTCCTAATCAAAGCTTTCTCTCGTTCGTTTCAAATTGTAAAATCCCACGTCTACTGCTTCGATACTCAACCACGTTGGAGTTACATTTGAGTTTTTCAGAAGTCAAACTGATTAATTCTACAAAAAAAAGTAAAGTGAATTAATAAAGTTAATTGATAAATTAATCATACGTTTTTTTACAAAGCATAAAACGTGGAATTGACAAATTTGACTTCTGACAGGCTCATATTATCATATTAACTTCTGATTATTACAACTCACGTTAAAATGTATAATTGAGAAAGAAATGTTGAATCCCAATGAAGAAATAAATATTTACAGATGTTATGTACGTGAAACTCTAGTGATTCACAATACATTGAAACAATCCAAATATTTTTAAGATAAAAGTTCTTCTTTCATAATGTGATTTTGTGTATGGAAATTCACTGTAATTTTCGTCAAATATTTGCATATATGTAAAAGAATATTCGCAAATTCGTCTGATACGTGTCGTCAGTAAAGAATATCTAAGATAACACGAGTTTTATAATTTGAGTAAGAAAGGATAGAATCATAATAATACCTTTGGGGATTTATCGCAGGATTCGGAAGGGATATCGGTAACCTGTGTTTGAAGAAACGTAACGGGAGAGGAAGCGGAATTGGAGGATTTGCGTTTTGTCTCCGCAGATGACAAGCTCTCTATAGTGTTCGTCTGTTGGCTCGACGTCGCACGAGGTCGTCGTACTAATCGTCGTCTGTAACGTGGTTGTGGATTTCTCCGCGAATTACTGAGTTGTGCGCTCTCGCCAACAGCCTCGTCATCGGTCACCTGATTTTACAATATATCTAATTTCGGTGTGCAGGTGCGTTTCCGATTATAGAAAAAGTTACGTTAAGATGCTCGTATAAAATACTTTATTGTTTTACAAAGTGTGAAAAAAAAATTATTCGCAAACAGCACAGAACACATACTCCGTGCGCGGTTAATGCATTAGTATAAAGGAATTATATAGTCTTGCTGAGAAAATACGAGTATAAATTCTAAGAAAATGCATCTAAAACAATGTTTTTATAAAGTCTAATACTACTCAGTTTCCTTTCTTTAAATTATAATAACTACCGTGCAGATTTAAACAGCTCGTTCAGACTTGAAACACGATTTATCATTTGCAAGAATGCAAAATTGAAAAAAAAAAAAAACATTTACAAGTACGAAGTCCGTTGTTTACTATTGAATAATGCAGTATTGTTGTCAGAAACAAAGGGATAATGTACACCATTTAGGTGCAAGCAATCGAGATGAATCTTTTCGTGAACCGTGTTTGATGTTATAAAAATTAATGTACAGTAGAACAAAACTGTTTTAAACCGATTGCAGATAAGATATACAAGGTATTTCACCTACAGTTCCGAGGTCGCGTATCTCGAAACTCCTTAACAACGAAGAGAGAGAAAAAGCATTGTATAAAAATTCCAATACAAAAATACAACATTCTAAAACACTTTCCTCACATAATTTTGAATTAATTGTTGTCAAGTCGCTCCTATTTTAAATTAATTACAATTGTTATACAATAATTTAGTTGCAAAACCTTATTTGTTTTACTACACATCCTTCTTGTCTCCAAAAGTTCAAGCATTTTCTAGACATGTTCTAAACATGATACAATTTGACGTATTAAAATGTACAATCTCGGAACTCTGGATGAAACAACGCGTGTAAGACTCAGGAAACATGCTAATTCGCAATTAATATTCATTTCGACGTTATTGTCTACTTGTCGATGTGACGATATTAAGAAACGCTAGCTTGGCTAGGGTTAGATACTAACCCTTACCTGGCCATCCTGACTGCGAGGACGTCGTGGCGGACCACCACCTCTTCCTCCGCGGAAATTGCGGCGGAAGTAACGTCGTGATGGACCACCGCGTCCACGACCACCACCGCGTGGCGGGGCTCCACCTTCGCCGCCGGTTCCTTCCGCTTGCTCACCACCTTCGCCAGCATCTCCTTGCTGTTGTGATGGATTGGGCCCGGAACGCCGTCCTCCGCGGTAATAACCATCATAATGACGACGCAGCCTATAGCGACGCTGTTGCTGCTGTGGCTGGCCGCCTCCCTCGGCGTTTGCGTCATCGCCGACCTTTCCTTCTCCTAAATCATCAACAGCCAATCATTCTTAATATCCAAAAGAATAAACAATTATACCAACTTGTTTAAACGAATAATAGACAACATACCTTGTTCGTAACCCTCTTGGCCTTCACGTGATCTACGATTCTGCGGTCGACCATTGCCACGTCTAGGATATACCCAGTGAATACCACGATATCCGCGACGCCTGTCCGCGGCATAGGGTGAACCTTTTACTGCTTCACCTGCTGGGCCAGTGACATTGGCTGCCTCGTGACCCTTCTCGCCGATAACAACGTCAAACTCGACGACCTCACCATCTCCCACACTACGTACAGCCTTTCTCGGGTTGTTCTTGATGATGGCCGACTACATTACACATAATATTGACATATAGTAATTATTTTAAAATTATTAAGTATAGAGTAGTAAATATGAGATATTTACCTGATGGACGAACACATCTTCCTTGGTATCGTTTCTGAAACAAGCAGGACAAGCAATTACGTTAGAAGCAGCCATATATATTGGTATATATATTTATAATCAGTTTTTAAGGTAAGAATAATATTTAAAATTTATATTTTATAAAAATTCGTATCGACAATTATTTTGTAATTATTTCCATAATTTCAGTGATAGCAATCAATTGCAATATTATATTTGAAACAATTCTGAATGTTAATTTCATATAACTACAATTCATATTTTCATAAGAACTATTCTGCAAATCCTTATTAAATAAGGGAGCATAATAATCGTATCCACTTGCCTATTGTGCAAGCAGAAATTCGGCACAATAGTATCAGTACGAGATTCGCGTAATTTACATTCACCACAAAGTTGCGGCATGTACACGATGCACGCGTCGCACGTAACAATATGTATGTATACATCTGTCCTACGCATGAATTCGCGAATGTACAGACGTAATCGGAATCCATGAAGCTGCGGAGCAAAGCATGGAATAGAGAGGTCGTTGCACTTCGCGGTGCACAGTCAGGAGAGAAATACAACTCGTACACAAACGCCAGCTGTCACAGCTAGACAGCGATTCTCCTCACTCGTAGTTAACAAAAGGTGAATCAGGTATGAAAATCAAATCAAAAGTCAAGAGTTAAATCGCCGAATTACCGGCCTCGTTATTTATTTAATTAATTTTTAAGAGCAGAGCAAAATTAACATATTTTCATATACTGTTAAAATAGTTTTGTTATTAATTTACTACTATATACTTTTTTATTAATTCTATTTATCGACTTTAATATCAACTATACAAACAGAAATCTATTGTAACGAAATTTCACTGTTTGCCTCAGAGCATGGATCGATGCCGAATAATTAATGGGCACGATCCAATGGGTATCGAAGCGGAACGTTGCTCTTCCATTGTGGTATAATCGAGTTCGCCAAATTTGAAACGAACACGACGAATGAACAATGGACTGAGTATTCTCAGTAAAGACTATTAGATTCCAATAAAACGTATAATTTCAGAAACAAATATTCCGGCGAGGTTTAATTCATTCATTAATTTTGCCGATTTAGAGAGGAATTTGTCCTGGAAATATTTCCGAATAATCTAAGAGAGTTTGAAACAAATTCTCGGTTCTATACTCTATTGTTAATTCCATTATAAAATGGTTTATTATAGAACGAGTAAGTTGTTTTTTTTCATGCTTATGAATTTAGAATATTAAGATTTTTAATTGATTTACATTGCTGTAAACATTGCAAATCTAAAACAATCGCAGATTGCTAGTTTAATAAATTTATAACATTTTTACCGAAAAGTCGCTCTTAAATAAGTCTGAATGAGTAAAATGATATGAGATATCAAATTGAAACCCCTCCCTCTCTCTCTCTCTCTCTCTCTCTCTCTCTATCTTTCATATATACTTTTAGCGCGAGATGTTACGACTCTTAAAAAGATAAGCTATCAATACTATTATAAAACAAGAAGCATAACTATTTTATTTTTACATTTCTCGAAACAGATATACTTGAAATTGCAAAAATCAGAATATCTATATACACGACACGCGACAATTGTAGTTGGGACAAGGAAAACGTTCTATATCTGTAAACAGCTGTATCAACAATGTTTCTATAATGTTTTACGGCACATCGAGCACCGTTAACGTCAGTGAAAGTGCATTCGAGATCATGCGAGATCTTTCGGGAGCAAGTAAACGTTCAAATCTAAGACTGATCGTGTGAAACTATCTTCTATCTCCGCATGCATAAGACCACGAAGACGAGCGAAAAGTCACACGCGTGTACGAATTTTTCTTTTACGAACTGCGCGGTTCCATCTTCATCGTGGCTCGCACGGAAGAATTTGCTGTCCGCGCACGAAAGTTTCGCGCGTAAAACACTGCTACGCGCGTGTGAAAATTTCCTGGCGATCCGCCAGATAAATAGTGGGACCTCGAAATAGCGAGAGGCTCTACGTTCCTATACGGACCGTCCACGCGCCGAATGAAGCGTCTATTTTCCGTGCGGCGTGATGCCAGGTCGAGGTTGCAGGTCGGACCTGCAGCGGAGATGGCGATTTTCCTAATATTAGAGACTACCACTTCCTCCATGTGCTGAAATCGTTATCAATTAATCTCTCGCGACCTAAATCGCACATTTTACAAACGTGAACAGTGTTAGATTAGAGTTCAGATATTTAGTTCTATCACGTTGGTCAGCTCGTCACGATCAATTTTTAATTCGAATAAAAGGAATTAAAATGAGAGCAAGTTCTCGATGATAATAGAACATGCAGTTGATTAAAAAAATAAGTATGTTTTAATAAATTATATTAAGTAAATGTTAAATCTATGAAACGGATGTTTTATTTACTTTGTTCCAAAAGTTTTCAAAAAATCGCGTAAAATTACAATACAAACTAATTTTTATTTACTTCAAGATTGTTCTATGTGTGAAATTGTAAAAATTTTACTTTCTCCATTTTTTTTTTTAATTTAAGATTTCTAAGAACGTGTGAAATTACAAACTGATATTTTCTTTAAGATTTTTCAAAGAACTTGTGAAATTATACACTAATATTTAATTTGTTTTAGTATTTTTTAAAAGAGTGACAAATTATAGATCTCCAATACGACTGATTATCCTTACAGACTCAAGAAATAGCTCTGCCAGAGTTAATGTGAGAACTGAAATTTTCACGTAAAACAGTCGCTTGCGTCAGAATCGGTTCTTCTTGAATAATTTAACGCGCGACGGAAGTCGCAAGATTTATTCGGTAAATGCGCGATGTAAACGGAAAATAAGCAAACATAATATTAAACATAGTTCGAGGATAACGGAGAGCGGCGAAAAAGATAATTAGACATTTTGTGACATGTTCGCGGGAAATTTTTCATGGGAGATGCAACAGTTAATATACGACGTCGCTTTAATGCTCGTGCGGTTGCTGCTCCAAATGGACGTTTAAATTAATAGTGTATGAGTAACCCTTACGCCCACACAGCATACATACACACGCAAGCGAATAAGTGTGTACTTTCTCTTCTATCTAGTAATGCATAAAAAGGCGAGTGTTGCAATGATGAAAAAAAAAAAAGTAAGAAAAGCACGAGGCAGTTGCAAAATAATAATTACTGACCTATTAATGAAACCGTAGCCACTCTTGACATTGAACCATTTCACAGTTCCGGTCACTTTGTTAGCTGAAATGAAAAAAGGTTTCATGATATATGCGACACATGTGCTGCGCATGCAATTTTACAAATACAGAACAAAATTCAGGGAATGATCAACTCATAATTTTCGTTGAATGTTAGAAAACATTGTAGTATGATTTATATAAAAAAAAAAAGAAAAATAAGTAATTTAATTATATAAAAAAAAATCTCCAGAATATTCGAATCGCGTGCATGAATAATGAGCCAGGAAAATGTTGCCTGTGCTCTCTGTACTTATTGTTATTATTAAATTGTGAAAGCGACCTTGAAGAGGGAAATAACGTGCTTAACCGCAGGTACATATCACGTGTTTACGAACACGTAAGCATGCTCGAAGACGAAATATAATAGGTACCGTTTTTATATTTATGGTGAGTAATATTTCTAGGAATAATGCGTTAGAAGTCGGGGAAAATCAAGTAAAGATACGATCGACAGAAAAGTAATTCTTGATTAAATGGTGTGTATATGAGTGATTAACGTTTATTTTACCAATGTGTGTAAATAGATTAATCTCGGTTCAATTTATTTTTTGTCTTTTTCAGATTCTTAAAATTCGTAGAATTATAGAAGAATAAATCGGAAAAAGATAAACAGTAAATTAAACCGAGATTAAAGTTAATCTACATTGGTATAAACGCGAGTGTACTCCAAATTTCTCGTAAACTAATATCTCAGAGTCTTTAAATAAATATATCTCTAAATTTTAAAGAAATACAAAATTGTTCGGCGAGTTTCGAAATGTTTAAGTTTATACAAAAATACATTCCGAGGGTAACATATATTATTGTATGTACATCGCGATTTGCGTTTCAACGAAAATATGATAAGACTATCTTCACAACAGTTACACGCGACCTTGTCACACAGTATAACCCAAACAAAGGTCGAAATTAATGTCATCAACGATAGATCGGCCCGGCGAAATTCCTCACATTTTGAAAATCTGAGTAATATTCTCCGAATAACGATCAGCCAGATGAAGTGTTCGCGGAATTTATTTTAAAGACATCAGCTTTCTATCTCGACAATGTCAAGATATGAATACAATTTAAAACGTAATTATATATGATGACTTAATTAGATATTACAAGAGCACGAATACGTTCTAAATATAAATTTTAATGAAATATACATCATAAATTGATACATTAAAAGCATAATTCTAGTTAATTTCTAAATATTTTTTTAAGATAAACGTTAATCGTAAAATTTCCAAAATTATCAACAAACTCAATGAATTTTAGAACTTAATCTACCATTAAATTTTATCCTTAACAATTTCAGGCAATAAAAAAAGTGTGATTGTGTCTTTTACTAAATCTCTTATAATAAATTTTAAGGAGACATATACATTCAGATTAATGATATAACAATTTTCATTTCTAGAGATAAATTTCTTTCAAATTTGATATTTTTAATAATTCTTAGCTTCCTTCAGGAAAAATTCGTCCGTCGAAGTCTTTCGATGCGATTAAATAAATTTTATCAAATTTTATTATGAATTTTGAGAAATTAAATAAGACAATGTACAATTAATTGTATTTACAGAGATTTGTAAAAAGTACACATTTCTCTGTGAAGATAAATTAATTTAAATTTTATCTTTGATCCTGTTTTCGCTACAGAAAAAAAAGGATTTAATATATTTCATCAATTTCTCTTGAATTTTGATAAAACATATACACGTACACATTAATTATACAATGATTTTAGAGAGATTTGTAGAAACAAGATTTTCCTGAAGATGAACTAATTTAAATTTGACCTTTTTTTATACATATATATATAACGATCTCTAGTTCTAGAAAAAATGAGAATATTCTAACGGTACATTTTACCGAGCGTCAAAATTCCTCGCGCACGCGCCAGAGTGAGATTTTTCTAGAATTTTTCATAACGTTGCTCGAATTCCAAGTGGTTTCGAAATAGGTAGCGCAAGCGTTTTCACGTAGCGGAAAAATGCGTGATCGATCGATCTAGCCAGGCCGGAGGCGCGAGTGCGTTTCGCCGCGGCGAACCACGCTCCGCGAAACACGCGGCGCGACGGACTTACGTAACGAAAACGTGGAGCGCGCGCGGGCGAGGATACTTCCGATCGTCATTAGAGACCGCTCCGGAAGGAAAACGATCGATATCGCAGTGGATCTCGGAGGCCCGGAGTATTCTGAAAAATCTCATTTACGTCGATTTTCATTCGCGGCATCCGCTGAATTTTCAGGTTATGCGAAGCGACGCGATGCGACACGACGCGCCGCGCCACGAGAGCGAACGACGGCGGCGTCGATGAAAATCGATGGCCAGACGAGAGAACGGAGTTTCCGTCGAGAAGCCACGGTCGCGGAGAGGAATTCCTTCCGCGACGAGCATCAGCTGATGGAAAATGGAGGCACGAACGCCACCGCGTTGTCTTGCGGCCGGAGCGCGTCGCGCCCGACGAGACTCGTCCATCGGCTCTTTCGCCGATGGATTTTCTCCGCGCGGATTTTCACGGACGCCGGGCCACATGGCTCCGGCGGCCGCCACGCAACGCCGCCGTGCGTGGACGCCATTACGGGCGGAGGAACGCGCGGCGACGAAAGAGACGGCGCGGTTCGGCGAGAGGCTCTTTCCGCCGCGGCGTAGATAGATCGGACGCGGTGAGAAGGCCGCGGGCGCGGAAACGATAGCGCGGGCGCGGATTTTATCACTCACCGATGACCATCTTCTGCTGGATAGCCTTGGGTTGTTCGGGCTGTTTCTCCGTCTCACCCATGATGGTAAGGTGGTGTAGAGACAAGCAATCCAGACCAGGATGGTACCGTCTGTCCCACTATGATGTTCACTCCTTTCTGCTGATGATATCAATGGTCATGGACGTGCATCTAGGCGACCGGACAAACACCATGCTTCGGCTCGTATAACGCGCTCGCTGATTCGCTGGCCCCCGTCAGCCGGCCGCCGCACCGCCAATCACGCGCGCCGAATCTCACGGAAGAGCACGATCGCCGGCCGAGCGGCACCGAACGACACCGCGCATGCGCGTAACACCGCGAGAGACACAGCTTCGCTATCGTACTTCGAGAGAAATTTTGAATCCAACGAACCTCAAATGTCCATACAATTTTCTCTCAGGCTGTAATACTTTGTTATTCAGGCTAAAAGAAACTGAATCTAATAGCATTTTTTTTCTACTTATTTCACGCGTACAATAATATAAAGACTACAATGATCTATTCATCTTACTGATTTACGATCCCTTATTATTAAAAAAAAACACATCAATTTCTTTGAAAGGAAAGAATAGAAAAAGTTTTCAAAGAAATTTTCAAGGTACCTGTAATGGTTCTAGAAATAGACACAATGTGAGAATAGAATGAGAATAAAAGAAAAACTTTCAAAAGGAATTTTCAAGTTACCTTTCTGCAATTTTCTAGAAATTGAAATAAAAGGAAGAAATATTTAGGAAAGAGCGGAGATATATTGAGAAAAGAGGGAAATATTCAAGTCAAAAATACATGTGTAGATATAACAAAAAATTCGGACGTCAGCATGTCAATAATACGCGGGAAAGGAGAAAAAAATGGAATTTAAACCAAGCGTACGTGGATCTCTTCCGGCTTCGCAGAAATTAAAAGAAAATTTTAACAATAATTTTCATAACGACTTAAAGAAAACCCTAAACGCTCGTTTATTATAATGTACATTGTGCGATATGAGAGAATATAACTCTCTTTATAAGATGTAGTTATTGGTAATATATTACAGTACTTGTATGTTCGTGTATGCTCGAACGTTCCAAACTTGTTAATACATTAGTGAGACAATATTAATTTAACACATTCACACCTTCCTCCTCTCTCTCTCTCTCTTTCTATATACAATTTTTAAAGGACGAACAGCATCGTTTAATTACTAACACATGAGGTTTCAGATTTATAATACAGTTCTGGAGATATATATATATATATATA